GGGGAGCTGGGAAGGGTCAGGGGGAGGGTCATGGCTGGGCTGGAGAAGCTTCAGGGGCTTTTCCAACCAGGACAATTCGGTGATTCTGTGCACTGAGGCACCACCCACCGCCTTGCACCTGCTCAGCTTGAGCTACCTCAGAGCAGCTTACTCAGTAAGCAGCTCACCGTGAACAGAGTTCATTTTTAAAAACTGAAGATAAACAACACACATTTTTATTTTTTCTGTGGCACCTCAAATCCCAAAATTAGATTTTTAACTCGTATAAAACCCAAGGCAACTGTGCTTCAGATAAGCTTATCACAAAGTTTCTATTACAGAACATTTTAAAAACATGACAGTGACAGAAGAGATACGAAAGCAGATCTTCGATATCTTCAGTTCCACAGAGAGTCCAAATTGCTGCAGTTGTACCCACGGCAGGGGGTTCTAACACAACTGCTAGGCAGAACAGCAACTGCCATCCATCCCGCGCACAGCCACAGCTCCCCGAGGGGGCTGATGCTTCCTAACCTCAGAAGAGAAGAGGTCAATGATGAACAGCTTTGGGGGCAGCCAGGGTTTGCTCACTTTTCCCATCTATGTATCTATATTTGTGTGTGTGTGTGTGAGGGAGGTTTGAAAAGTAGATTCTGGCGGTGAGAATACTTCTGTGGGCCACTGGGATTGTAAATTAGAAAACCATTACAAAATGTGAGTGTGCAACAAGCCATCAAATGAGTTGCAGCAATGAAAGAAACGTTGAGAAAAATTAGTCAAGTGTTACACTACTAAATATCAGCAAAATACCATATTTTTTTCCCTTTATGGGGTGGTTTTAATTATTTACCTGATAAAAACTATTTTGTAATATGTGAATTAAAGACTACTTATTTAATCTAGACTTGTTTTCAATAGCCATCCTATTTCAATAGCCAATAACTCCAAATTGCACAAAACACCAACAATGTAAAATATCAAGGATGGGTGTTTTGCATGTCATTTTATTTTGCTTGCTCAATTTATGGAGACATATTATCTAAACTTCAAAACGAAGGCACCAAAGCAGAGGAACAAACTGCAGAATGGCATTGACCCATTGCCTGCCTCCTGTTCTTCACAAGATCGTTAGGACAGTAATTCCCTATTAAAAGCCCTGGCAAGCTACGTACAGTTTCTTGCAATAAATTCTGTTTTAAAAATCCTAAAATGCAAAGTCTAGCTTGGTCAGACTCTCTCGAACTAGATACTATGGATATAGTTTCTGAAAGCTATTCGTTATTAGCATCAGGTTGGACTGCTATTTACTTTCATTCTGTTCTTTTCAAGCCCATCTCCTTGGCTTTGAATATAAAATTTCAGGTGAGGAACAATTATTCTCTCAAGCTGCAAATAATTAAAGTCAAGGATACTGTGATAAAACCAACAAGCAGTAATTACACTGATTAGAAAAAAAGCTTTTTGAATATGGTTTTATATTACTTTTAAAAAGACACTATTTCCTTAAGAACAATGTTTTAGTTAGGGTAATGAAATTATATCTGTTAAACAGAAAGTTAAAGTAAAATCATAGAATCAATTTAGGTTGGAAAAGACCCTTAAGATCAAGTCTAACCATTAACATAGCACTGCCAAGTCTAACACTAAACCATGTCCTTAAGTAATCTAAATACCCCCAGGGATGGTGACTCAACCACCTCCCTGGGCAGCCTGTTCCAATGCTTGACAACCATTTCAGTGACGAAATTTTTTTTGTAATAGACAATCTAAACCTCCCCTGGTGCAACCTGAGGCCATTTCCTCTTGTCCTATCACTTGTTACTTGGTTTAAGAGGCTCATCCCCCCTCTCTGCACCCTCCTTTCAGGGAGTTGCAGAGAGCAGTAAGGTCTCCCCTCAGCCTCCTCTTCTCCAGAATAACCCCCCCAGTTCCCTCAGCCGCTCCCCCTCAGACCTGTACTCCAGACCCTGCACCAGCTTCACCAGTTGCTCTTCTCTGGACGTGCTCCAGCACCTCAATGTCTGCCTTGCAGTGAGGGGCCCAAAACTGAGCAGAGAATTCAAGGTGCAGCCCCACCAGTGCCGAGTACAGGGGACGATCCCTGCCCTAGTCCTGCTGGCCACACTATTCCTGACACAAGCCAGGGTACTGTTGGCCGCCTTGGCCACCTGGGCTCACTGCTGGCTCGTATTCAGCCGGCTGCCGACCAACACCCCCAGGTCCTTTTCCTCTGGGCAGTTTTCCAGCCACTCTGCCCCAAGCCCGTAGCGTTGTGTGGGGTTGTTGTGACCCAAGAGCAGGACCCGGCCCTAAGCCTTGTTGAGCCTCATACAATTGGCCTTGGCCCATCGCTCCAGCCTGTCCAGATCCCTCTGTAGAGCCTGTCTGCCCCCGAGCAGATCAACACTCCCACCCGGTTTGGTGTCATCTGCAAACTTACCGAGGGTGCACTCGATGCCCTCGTCCAGATCACTGATAAAGATACTGAACAGAACTGGCCCCAGTACTGCGCCCTGGGAACACCACGTGTGACCGGCCACCAGCCGGATTTAACTCCGTTCCCCACAACTCTTTGGGCCCGGCCATCAGCCAGATTTCACCCAGCAAAGAGTGCGCCCCTCTCAGCCACGAGCAGCCAGTTTCTCCAGGAGAATGCTGTGGGAAACGGTGTCAAAGGCTTTACTAAAGTCCAGATAGACAACACCCACAGCCTTTCCCTCATCCACGAAGTGGGTCACCTCGTCACAGAAGGAGATCAGGTCAGTCAAACGGGACCTGCCTTTCATAAACCCATGCTGACTGGGCCTGACCTCCTGCTCACCCGGTACGTGCTGTGTGGTGGCACTCAAGACGATCTGTTCCATAACCTTCCCCAGCACTGAGGTCAGACTTGCAGGCCTGTAGCTCTGCGGATCTTCCTTCTGGCCCTTCTTGTAGATGGGTGTCACATTTGCTGACCTCCAGTCAATGGGACCTCCCCAGTTAGCCAGGATGGCTGATAAATGATGGGAAGTGGCTTGGTGAGCACCTCCGCCAGCTCCCTCAGTGCCCTTGGGTGGATCCCATCTGGCCCCACAGACCTGTGTGTGTCTAAGTGCTGTAGCAGGTCACTAACCATTTCCCCTTGGATTACGGGGGCTTCATTCTGCTCTCCCTGCCTGTCTTCCTGCTCAGGGGGTTGGGTACCCTGAGAACAACTGGTCTTACTATTAAAGACTGAGGCAAAGAAGGGGTTAAGTACCTCAGCCTATTCTTCATCCTTTGTCACTATGTTTACTCCTGCATCCAATCAAGGATGGAGATTCTCCTTTGCCCACCTTTTGTTGCTAATGTATTTATAAAACATTTTTTATTGTCTTTTACAGCAGTAGCCATAATGTTTTGTATGCATAACAATGTAATCTATGCAGTTATTTCTACTTCTTATTTACTCAAGGGCCAGTACCGTACCATAAATAGGAATGAATATATGAATTAAGCAGAAGAAGAGTCTAAGCTTCCCATATTTTCCAGTGAATTTTGTGGTGTCCCATGCTGCTACACAACACACACACGGTATGGGAGAGCACAGCCAAAGCCATGTAAGCCACCCCCCAACCTGAGCAAGGTTTGGCCTTGCAATATGCTTTTACTCTGTGCCACTCACCACGTGCAAACTGCTTCTTTGAGAGCAGAGCAGAACTTGGCACAGTGGGATGTGGTGGATCCCCTCACCCTCTCTTTTTTCAAAAATTTAATTAAAAACACCCAAAGAAATAAACACAAAAAGTGAAGAGAGAAGGGATACATACTGACACTGCTATTCACTGCACAGCTACCTAGTGCTTTCTATTCTGAAAGTTTATGAC